GACGGCCATTCTCTCAGATCCTCAAGGAGCGATTCAGCATAACTGGATCAACAGAGAATAGATGTTGTCATTTTCATATGCATTAGATGTGGGTGACTCGAGGTGGATCTAGAGAAGATAAGGTAACTTGACTCCAGAACAATTTCGAAGCAGAAGGAGTACGAGTTCAAGGGCTCGTAAGGAACGCGGCTCGAAAAAGCTGCCTACAGAAGTTGCAGTAGGCTTGCCAACACTGGCGAAGGCCGGTAATATGGGAATGCAGGTTTTGCAGGAAATGCTTGATCGTCGAAAACGGAGGAAGGTCGCCTTTAGGCTATGCGAAGCCATGCTTACGGCTTCTGAAGACGTCGGAGTAGCAAAGGAAGAGCATTGGTACCAGCCGGTGGAGCTTCTCGACGACGACGCACAGACAGGATCGAGAGCTGCTCTCATCGCAAATTGGACAGAGGATGAGACCGTTGAACAAGGCAGAAGATGATGGTTGGGCATTGGATTGGTAGTGGTGGGATACCAATCAGGCCTATAAAGCGATTTCGACTTTCTTAACACTTTAAATGTTACACATTGCTTTGCCACAGTAAATTGTTACTATCTACCTTGAGCAGTGCTATGGAGGCCGCTCGAAGAGCGAAACGCTCATGACACTTTATTTATCTGGTCAAGTGCATAGGGCTAATTATAAGACAGCTGCCCGTATACCTGGCTTATCAAAAACAGTTGACGTCACAGATGGGATTGGAAGATCAGCTATGAACCCGTCTTAGGCCCTACTAACGCTGGGCACATCACAAGGGGGCTTGTAGATGGGCCACTGAATGCTGGTCTTCATCTGAAGACATCGTTCTGATAGCGGAGGTAGGGAAGAAGGAAAAGGTTGGAATGTTCAGATCGGTGGCGCCTTCTATTACCGAAGTGCTCTAGAAAGCGCAAGAAAAAAGTATGCAGAACAGAGGTAGAGCGATGACATTGACCAGTGGTTGGTTGCTGGTGATCGCATGGATAACGAAGGTGTCAGGATGACTATAGAACTAGCCTTTCTTCAGTTGAAGATCAATGAGTAAAACCTGTGATGGTATCCGGAATTTCCGAATGTGTCCTCTCTATTGTATTCTTTTCTGCTTGTCAAACTCTGATCCCCTGCAGAGCTTTAGCCCTACCATTTCGAATGTGGAAACGTGGTGGTACTCATCCCCGAACTCCCACGAAAAGCTGCCGCGGGACTACGGCGACCACCCTATCCTTTCATTTCAAACCTTTTCCTTCATGGCGCACGACTGCGCGCGATCGGTGCGGCAGCGCGATTTTGAAAACATTGACATACTGTTCCTTGGCTAAGGTCGTAGAGTAATACGGTTATGGTCCTTTAGTTCCTTCCTCTCTCGTAATGGTTCACATTCGTATACAAGCAATCTATGCCAGTTTGAAAAAAAACTTGGGTTCTAGATAAGTGTACAGCTGATCCCTTCTGATCCTTCTCACTGTACACCTCTGATTAATATTGAACATATTGCTAATGCTGCTATCAAGATATTATCACTCTATCGTCATTAATGAATAGGATTTCTCATTCATCTACTAACGGTTCATCGTTTAGTCACCATGAGTTGGCTACCACTTCATCTCTACAAATGGCGAATGAGCTTTGTGAGTGTTTGCATGGTTTTTTTTGCTTTTTTAAACCATAAGTACGACGGGACACCACACTACAGAATGCCAAAAGTGACGCTCTCTTCGGAAATGCAAGTGGAGCAGAAGTGAGCAGTGGTACGGAACAATCGGAAGAAAACAATTACATATCGTAAGTGGCACAGGCGAATTTCGTCTTCTGCTGCTATCCTGCTTTACATGAATCGCTGCCTGCAAAAGGGTACTGGATCGGCTTTGCAAGTTGCACGATTATAGTCGCTGCTAATCTACACTTGAACAAAAAAAATGCGATTCTCGGTGGTTGGCTGTTGCCAAAGCAAATCAAAAGCAGTTAAAGANAACATAGACAAATGCAAATCGTTCGCTCCACTTACACTTGGTGGTACTGTAATGTCATCTTGAGACCTCAGTGGAGTGCGCCGCGCGCGAGGTGGGCGGGGTAACCTACTTTCGACGGACGCGCGCAACGGACGTTTGCCTCAAAGTTGGTGTGCTCTTCCTAATCTGAGCAATCTTCCTACAGGAATTTGGTGATCAGGATTCTCGAATAGATCATATTGAAAAGATTTGACCACAAATTGGTATAGGATGAGACGTTGAAGATTGTGAACGTGAAAAACTTGAGAAGTAGCGTTGAAAGGGAATGGTCACCGAACTCGTCCTTTGTTCTTCTCAGTGATGAAGCCTCCAGGTGGTATGGGCGGGCTAAATAGGGCGGGATTAGTATATTGATAGCACGGTATCAGATGGTGATAATAAGTGATAAAGGCTTGTTACACATTCCATAACTAGTAGCTCGCCAATAGCATAAAGCATTAGGCATAGCGGAATTCGTTGGAGCAGTGGTCATTTCTTCAGTAGACCCTGACCAATTCGAATGAGGCCGGCTTCATTGACAGCCATCCCTTGACGTATGTCAGTTTCCATACTCTCACCTATTCTGCTATCAAATAAAGGAGTTTTGCATTTGGCACTGTTCATTTTGACTGAAGCTCCTCGGAACGTAGGCTTTGTTCATCTTAATTCACGTCCCACCAAATCCAATCACCAGACGCACGGTCTTTCAGGGATAGAGCACATAGAGTACTTATATTCTATTCAGGGCGGTTTTGAAGGCGAATAGAAAAAAGAGCTGCATAATTTAATGTATTGTTGTTCAACATGATGCAAAGTTCTTCCTTTGTTCAAAAAATGAAATGCCGTCTTGAGTTGAATCCATCCAAAGACAGCAACATGACTAAGTGAGAAAGTTAAGGTGGAAAAATAAATGAAAATCAATGCGGAACATTGAGGATAGTACCTGCTCAAGTGACAAGGAACACTAAAGCTATCTCATGATTCATACCCTTGAAAACCTCTAGAAAACCAAACCTATTGAAAATCATACAATCCGAAGATAACTAGTTTCAAAGAAATAGAATAGTGCTGGAGACTGAAAGAATCATTGACAGAGAACCGCATCAGCACAGAAAGGGAACATGAAAGGATGCCTTAAAGCCCACCATGCTAGCCGAATTGATTTTGGGAGGAATAACCTCCTGGTCTGTGCTGTTTCACCGAGAAAATGTTCAGTAGCGTTTGGCTGGGGCCAGTTGAGCTTACAGGAACGAAAATTCAGTCCGGTTCTCGGCACTTACAGTAATCCGGCACGTGTTAACACGCAAATATTTACCCGTCACATATACCACGCGTCGAAAAGGGGCTTTGGGGTAAGAGTCGAGAACCTGACCCCGTGGTAATTCTAAGAACTACATGACATCACGATAACCAATGATCTATATCACATCGATGATGACGATAACTAATGATACTAAACGATAATGGTCTTTATTTAGTTAGAAACAAGTCTCGATGGATTCAAACAGCAACAGCACTGAACAGTAACTCTGTAAGGGTAAAAAAAAACTACTTAGGAGGGTGGGATTGCCATTCACAGATTCGCATACCGTTGCGTACGGTATTTCTGTATGTACAGTCTGTCGCGATTGGGGATAACGTAGTTACTGGATGGACATATTCTTTGCGGCTTACATCGTTTCTACTAGTAACCCTCAGATATTATAAATTTTTCATTGTCGTGAATGAATTGTAGACCAGGCATTAATAACTATTTTGACTATTTAAGCTTCAAACTCGGAGAACGTGCACCTCCATCGAACATGGTGCGAACCAACAACTACACTTATATAAATTTCTTACCGAAGTTCCTTTACGCTCAATTCAAGCAAGTGGCCAACCTGTTCTTCTTAGTGCTGTCATTTATACAGGTAAAACTGTTGCTATATTGCACCTCTTTGGTAATGACCACTTTCACTCTTGAATATTTCACACCTCAAGACATTGCCTGGATTATCACCTTTTGGTCGGCAAGCAACAATTCTACCTCTCAGTTTTATCATCGGGACTTCAGCCATTCGTGAAATTTATGAAGACGTGGTGAGTCTACGTATATCTGTTAGCAAGTCTGTCCTCTAAGGCAGGCATTTTTTCAGCGCCGTCGTGTGCGAGACCGCAAAATGAACTTTCAGAAATGCTACGCGCACACGGATGAAGGATGGAAGATGATTCCATGGTGTGAAGTGCGTAGTCAGGGCGTTTCCCATGTTTCTACTTACAAGTAGTGTGGCAAAGTTTGAGCTGTTGAACCGCGACATTACCACTATAGATGCAATCACTGACATTACTGATGAGGGTTATTTCGTGGCAGTATTAAAGCGAAAGAGATATCACTGCTCAAATTTTTTGGTGCCTATGAATCAGTATATGAAAAGGGACATCAAATTCATTATTCTCATAGAAAACTATAAGAGCAGGATCAAAGGTAGTGTAGCGGCAAGTGACGCACTATCACACATCCATAGTCCGGGGCTCGAATCTTGGACCGATATCCACTCAGATCATTCGAGCCTTCCTTCGCTCCGGGGTCCACTGGTACCAGACTTGTCTGGGAGGACAAAAAGCGCTGAATTGTACATCTGCTGACCACCGCAAGTCATTGTATAAGCCACATTTGCAAACAATAACGCTTCTATGATTCGGAATAAGAGTCAACTCAAAGTCGGTATTGATCAACATCAAAAAGGTTATTTTCAATTAATTTATATTGACTCTGACATTGGCTGCTTTCATAGTCCGCCGGCCGGCCGGCGTGCCACGAAGCAGTGCTAGGGGGAGGAGGGCGGCAGACGGTCGGTCGAAGGGCTGAAAACAAAGAAGGACAAGATCAAAAACCAAACAATCAGGGGCTTGTACAAATGGTTTTTGATCTTGTCTCTCCCTGTTTACAGCCCTTCGAGGGAGTGACCGACCGTCTGCCACCCTTCTCCCCCTAGCACTTTCTCGTGGCAGTGCTTCTCCGCCGGCGGACTATGAAAGCAGCCATTCGAGCATTTCAAACAAACTAGTGAAGTTGTGCGAAGAGACCTTTCGTCGAGCATTGTCGCGATTACATTTTGCCATGTCGATTTTGTTGCCAAAGATCACATCACAGAGTGAAATCAATTCTAACCTGAGACTCTAGGTGAGATAAGGCCGAAATAGTTGACAGCTCTTTGGTTTCCAACTCCCTTTATCGAGATCTCATACATAAGAGGGCAATATTGTTAAGCGAGCATCAGGTTGTACTTCGAACATGATCTGGTTTCCTTCAGCTTCATGTCGGTCAGTTGATTCGAGCTGTAAATGGCGAACAGTTAGCGGCTGATTGTCTCATTCTCGCTACTTCCGAGCCCGGTTCTGTCGTTTATGTCGAGACGGCAAATCTTGATGGGGAAAGCAACCTTAAGGTAAACTTTTTAGAAAGGCAATGTGCTTCTAACACATGTCAGTGGAATTTTAAAAACCAATTAATTTTAAAACCATTCATTTTTCGGGTGCTGGAAATTTCGACATACAGAAAACTTTGAAAATTGCTAGGGGAAGGCGCTTTTGCGTATTTCAAGAGGAGACATTTTTTTACTGACAGGTTGACAATCGTGCAGTTCAGGTTAGGCAAGCCGCTCCAACACGACTCACCAACAGCGAGAGCAGCATGGCTGTCAGTTTTGTAATGAAGCTTGTTTGCAGCATAACCCCCAACCAAATGCTACTTAAAAATCACTTTATAGGAATTTTGGCAAAGTGGTGTCGAAATATTCTACGACGTTCCAAACGGAAACATCTATGAATTTCAAGGCCATATGACCGGAAAATCGCACCTCTTGCAAACATCAGCTGAGAGCGCGAGCCTCAGCACAGATAGAGGTACTGCCCTTCTTAAAAGAGATATGGTGCAGAAAGATTCACTATTCACTACAACGTTCAAGCGATGTAAGGCTACTCTCCTCCCTTTTTCACCCGTTACACAAAAGCATTTATTCCAACAGAACACCGTGGAAGTTTTCAACCAACTGATCCGGCGAAGATCACAGTCTAATTTGGCCATAAATTCTCTCCGGTTTGGAAGACTTCATCGATACGGGCGATGACTTTTATACAAGAATTACTTAGACTTACTAAGATATGTATCAGTGGAAGAGCTAAGATAAGTTATGTATAGCCAACGACTACGTGACTGCCAAACTGTTTAAAAGGAGGATGTGAAAAGGTCGCATCCTTTTTTGGTGATCCCATTTTCGGTGACTGTGCGCCGAACCTACCGGAGGGCTCTATACTGTGTACTTCCTATGTGCCCGAGAATTTTCGACTTTACCTCAACTTGGTCCTAACGTACATTTTGCGCTCAGCAAATAGGAATCCCTCTGTTCTTCATATACCTGAACCTAGGTTGAGAAACAAACATAATGAAAAATCTAAATATGGAGCCGAACAAATGTAGTAATGATTAGTGAGCCCTTCAGCAGTTGCTGTGGCAGGAAATCAAAGTCAAGGAACGCTCAGCTTCGTGCTAAGCTTTTGGCTTTGCTTTCGAACTTGCTTTAGTCTATGCCTCAAAGAAAGCGCTAAATCAGAAAAAAAATTGAAATTTCGCTCTTCAGGAATCTTTAGCAAACACTGTACGGCCTTCTCTATTTGACACACGCGACACTTTTCCAACGCGAATCTCCTCTCTACCACCGTGCAACCCCGTGCTTCATCCACCTCTACCCAGTTCTCACCATTTTCTCGAGATTGTTATGGATTTATAGAAGAACTATGAACTGTGATGCCATAAGCTGAGCTGTTATTTTTCGAAACTGGACTCAGATATCGGATTCCGTTCGACCGCGATGGCAGTTTTTGCGGTATTTCCGCTCTCAACCCACCCTTGCCCTTTTCCAGAATAACCCTGTAGGATTCCACGAATAGGTCTAAGTGCAGCTATATTAACTCTCAAGGTACTCATTAATCTATATTGGTTCTCTTGATTCTTCTCCAATTATTGTTGTTGGTGTGGAAAACCAATTCGTTGGTCTGAATATGATCAGCTCGGCTGAGGAAGTTGCGAGAGTCATTGCATCAACCGACTGAGGTAGCCCAGCGGGGTATGCTGTAAGGCTCGAGTTTAGTCTCAACTGTGTTCATGTCGACTGCATTCTATGTTGCAGCACAACACGGAGTAAATTCATGTGTGCACAAAGTTTTTTGTTTTTTCGGTCCCTTCCACTTTTTATTTAATTTCTTATGAAACGCATCAATGACGTCTACGAATGTGAGAGTTTTAACTGAAGTTCAGTTGCAGGAGAAGCGGCGTCGTCTAAGTTGAGCAATTCGAGTTACACAGTCCCACTTAGTGAGTTGATTAGAATCCCCTCAATTTACATGTGCAGTCAGTTGGGGGGCCATTCCAGCCAATGCGCATGTAATTCTTCGAGGAGCTCGTCTGAAGAATACGGACAACATCTACGGCATTGTGCTTTACACGGGTCAGGATACCAAACTATTCAAAAACAGTATAAAACGAGTCTTAAAAAGGTGACTATACGTTTCTCGTTCCTTGGTTCCTAGGCTCATTGGCAAGGGTTATCTCTATTGAAGTAGGCTCCAGGCTTATACCTCCATTGCAGCTCCCAGCTTCTGACTCTCTTGAACTCTGTTATACTAACTCAATTTGGAATTGTAATGCTGCTTTGTCTGGGACATTCAATCATGAGCCGCCTCAATCAGCCAATTCCTTTTCTCGTCTCACAATTTTCCAATCACTTTGACGGTGAGTTCATTGAATCTCGAGCTCGTGGCCATACAAGCAAGCCATTCCATAACATTAAAGGCACAGTACACGATAAAAGTGATTCTTTACCATTAGATTTCCACCTGGGATAAACCTGTGCACCCAAAGGATAGCACAAAGGACGTTGTCAAAATAAGAAGTAGCCTAGATGGGGCTTAATAATGGCTCCAAAATCGCCTTAGCCGACGTACACACCCAAAGGCAAACGAGTTCCCACGCGTTATAGAGGCTGAGAGGCTACAACGTTGCAGAGAGAGTGCACACGTTGCAAAAAAACAGCCTATCATAGCCAGCCGCCATGGCCCACACATTTGAACAACTCGTCCAAATACCCCTTCCATGCAACCCCAATACCCTCTTCTTCGTCACGTTCTCGTCCAAGCCCTAAGTTATAACCCTATACCTAGCACAATTCAGGACTACAATTTCAACCATTCATTTAGAACCAGATACTCTAAAACTATCGTGAACTGTGCCTTTGGTGCCACAGACCCGTAGAGCTTATAGGCGATTATTTGATGGTGATTCAGATTCCCTCATGTCCATCTTCTTGCAACATTTAGTATTATTCAGTGGTTTTGTACCTATTTCGTTATATGTTACACTAGAAATGGTTCAAATCATACAAGGGATGTTCATTCACAACGTATGCTTGTAGTATCACATATATTGTTACAACTATATGGAATAGTGTGCACCTCGTTGAACCTATTGCAGGACGAGACGATGATTGACGAGAATGGGCGAGGTCCCGACGTAAAAATGTTCTCATTAAATTCGGAACTCGGTGATGTGAGTGGGATTAACACGAAGGCATATTCCGCAACTACAAGATGTCGGTAACAGGGGCCAAAAAGTAGTGTGTGTTAAGCGAAACGTCATGGATTGAAAAAGTAAGATCTCGAACATGTGGTCTCACTGAGTTGGTGCTTTTAGAGGTAAAGTCGGTGGCAATCAGAGCACGTCCTTCTACGTTCTAGCCCTTTGAACCCTCTTTGAGCCGCTCCGTTCTTCGGAACTAGATTACCGCCGAGTGTTTTAATGGAAAGTAGAGGTTGGGCAAAGTTCCAGATGCGTTCCCTTGCCATGGTTTTGTGGCAACAATTCCCAGCAAGTAGATATTCCTCTTTTATACTAAATCTGCAGAGAGGTGAAATGAGCGCATGCCCACATAAGCGCACGTCCAGAGAACGGAATATAGCATGGTCAGCGCTAGGCACTTACTTAGGGATGCACACGCACCTGACCACAGTTCAGAATGGAAAGACCATAGGATAGACAGTCGGTCCCTGGACGATGGCCTGTGAAACATCTCTGAACAATGTGGTCCCCACATCTCATACCATCGTTCTAACATTCCAGTCTCTAAGAACATTTCTATGTGAAAGTCAGATGTCAAGCGCTCTCAAGTAACTCAACTAACCTAGCTTCTGGTGATCAAGAAAAAACTCAAAAAAGCTAAACACAGTTTTAGGTCAAGTATGTGATGTCGGATAAGACGGGTACGCTGACGCAGAACTGCATGCGATTTCGTATGTGTTCAGTGGGTGGTGTGAAATATGCGAACCGACGGTCGAGGAGGGACAAAGTGTTCTCACCTAAGAAACTTCTTGCCCACATCTCCAGCAACCAAATGGTAAGAGTTAGATATGGATTTCGATCCCAATGCCATACCTGGGTGATAGTGCTCTACTTGCCCCTACACTACCTTCGCTAACAGAAAAGCGACGGACTTGCATTAATTCAATCACTAATTTAAACTCCTTTATTCAAGTCTGTGGAATCCTTTTTGAGCTACGTATAATATAGAGATACTATTCTGCTTCAGAAAAATGCCCATCAGATACGAGATTTCCTCTTGTCATGCGCACTCTGTCATACAGCATCTCCAGACAAGAACACGTCTACATCCGATCGGCCTCTTTACCACGCCACTTCCCCTGGTAGGCCGATTTCATCCTCCTAAACATCTGTTTTTGAAAGTTTTCACGACAATGTAAAGTAAACTGTTACCAAGAGACTTTGGTAGCACTTCAAAAACGGTTTGAAGCACAGCTTCTCCACTAGGCTTTTCTGGTAGCATTAATTCACATGCACAAGGTCATTTGAAACCCATCTTACATGGGATGCCTGTTCGGGTTGCAGTACTCATTAGCAGAAGTAGAAATAAATGAAATAGAGAATAAAGCTCTGCCTCCGACCCTAGAATCAATGGTAGACGATATTGATGTGTGTGCCGTTTTTTTGGAGCGCCACTTAACGGTACGTTATATGGCCCCTACAGTACGTTTCCTGAAATGTGAGTAAGTTCAAGAACAACACTCTAAAAAGCAGAACCATAAACCAAGACCTTCTTACAACATATGGGAAGCTTCTCGGAACGGCCGTTTGGGTACTTGCAGGAAATCAAAGTAATCCCTGAGCGATCCTATTCACGAATGAAAAGAGCCGTATGAAAAAAAAGCGTAAGGCTTCCAGAATCGCAGCCTCTCGTTGCAAGTAGGGATCGTATTATGGGCCCAAGTGAGCCAATATTACTCAAGGGACTCAGTAGCTGACCAATACATTGGAGCTGCTGGTTTCCACAACCGTAATTCAACCTGACTCGACAAAAAGCAAACTACAGTTCGCACTTCTTTTTTACGTATTGAAAGCTAATTTTCCAGCACCGCTAAGTTTCTAGCTCCATATCAATCACCGAGATTGGCCCATTCAGCATATTTAGTTCGAGAGATCCTAGCTCGGGTATCTATTGGTGTCATGGGGCTCCAGTCTAGGTGTTCTTTACAATTACTGCTGTTCACTTCATCAGTGAAATAACTTTCAGCTCAAAAAGTTGCCATTAATGCGATCCTAGTACATAGATGTCCGATTTAGAATATGGGAGAGTTTTCAATTTCAGATGAACATGCTCTCCTTGACTTCGCTGCTAGTGCAGGTTTCATCTTCAAAAAACGAGCACCAGGAAAGTGCATACTCAATGTGGTAGGTTAACCACTGAGCGAGACCGGTGCACTTTCAAGACAAAAGCGTCTTTCAGTTAGGGACTACAGTGGAGTACGATTTGGTGGCGATTCTCGAGTTCGACTCGCAAAGAAAACGTATGTCAGTAATAGTGAAGGAACCTGGTGGCAATTATAAACTCTACATCAAAGGAGCAGTAAGCTTTTTTTTTTAAGAATCCTCAGTATTCTTACATGGAAGCACATCTTCAGGACCAAAAAATCTTCGAACGACTCAAAAACGTTTCCCAGAAAGAGCTGAAACGGACAGCCGGCCATTTACAGCAGTTCGCAATAGGAGGTAAGCGAAGAACCCTCGATTCGATCTAAGTCCAAGAGGGAATCCCTGCTCAGGTCATCGAACCCTCTGCTTTGCTGTTAGGACCATCGATACCGCGACTTTCACAGCTTGGTACAAGGAATATATTCAAGCTATTAACGACACCACCAGAAGAAAGTCGCGGCTGGCTGAACTTGCGGAAGTCATCGAAAAGGTTTGTTGTTCAGTGCAGGCATGGATTTAAACATATAGGACGGATATTTCCCAAATTCTTCCTATAAAATGGTGACCTTGAGTGTTTGTTTGTATGCCATTTTGGCTGTCATTCTGCGAAACTAACCTAGACGCAGCGAGACCGTGAGTTGTCAAAAGAGTGCGGTGAGAAAGGTGTACGTAATAGGAACCCAACTGCTGCTGTTTCCACCAATTCCCTAACCAGAACGGGTCATTTCGCGACGTTGTCGACCGCGAACCAATCCTCACTCTTTCCCGTTGGAGATTGGACCTTATTTGATTCTTTTCGAGAACACTGCGATCACAGCCTCAGAAAAGAGGGGGAATAGTGTGAAAAAACGCTCACTGTTTTTCAGTACATCTTCGCTGCAGAATTTTCTATAATTCAATTTGAGCGACATTTTTAAAGTAAATTTTCATGGTGGATACGCACAGGCAGGAACAATGTGTCTCTAACCAGGGAGGGGTAGTCTACTTATCTTGCAACTTTGAATGGAGACCCAGATGAATCGATAGAGTTTTGAATGCTGTTTACGAAAGTGGAAATCAAAACTGCAAAATGGTTGTCCTTAGAAAATTATGAGGGCCCGAGTTTTGCTTAACAGTAGTATCAATTGGATATGTGAACTCGTCGCTTCGATAAAGATTTTTGCGGATGTGTTCCGACCTATTAATGACAGAGTATCCACCCGTGAGCCACACAATATCGTAGTTTGTCATTAATTGGTAACGGCCAACCGAAAAATGACTCCGTACTGACCAACCAAAAAATTCGTGAAATTCTCTGAATACGTATCATTGGGCGAGATTGCAAAATTGAGATATCATTTGAAAATCAGGGGAGTGGACTTGACCTACTGGAGATACCTTTGTCCACTCACCCACAGATGGGATTCATTAATTTGTAATCTTAGGATGTTCTAAACCATTTCTGTTTGGAAAACTCATTTATGAATTGGCATGGATTGCAATAGACAACAAACATACGTCTATAGAAAACATTTCTTTTCTGAATCCACCATAATTTCGTTAAGGAGCTTGTTCTGATTGGAGTGTCAGCGATTGAAGATCGTCTACAAAAGCGCGTACCGGAGACGGTAAGACGGCTCATTGCTGCTGGAATTCGAGTCTGGGTACTAAGTGGAGACAAACTGGAGACCGCCGTCAACATAGGTTCGCTACTTGATCATGTGAAGATTGGTGTTCGTATTTGCAAATTCTCAACGTAAATCTGTATTCCCTTTCGTGATGGGGGTATGGTAGCTGCACCCGGGAGACGGGCGTTAGGAACGATTTTGGGTAGTTGATTCGCCGCATGCGGCTGTCGCGTACCTCTCATTCGCCGTTATTATAGCTCTAGCGTTCTTCATACAGCTCAGTCGATATGCGATCATTATTTTATGCATAATTCTACTATTAGTGTTTTTGTCCTTGTATTTCTTACCTACTACTGCATCCTGCTACTTCCGTTCGCGCGCGACGCCCCTCTCACCGCGACGCGACCATTTCCTTCCTAATGCACCACACCCGTTGCACCCTCCTTCCGTTCTGTTAACCATTAAGCGTATCTCCGGCCATATTTTTTCACAGAAAAATATGAGTCACTGCTGGTAAGTGTGCAGTTCAGTAGCAACATGTCCCTATAATCGTTATCGATCTCGACCTTATCCTAGCTTTCTTCAATACAACCTTTTCCTATACCACACATGTGGTTTCTTAGGCTCGACTTAACCTTTCGTCGTTTCAGGGCACTCTTGTCGCCTTCTTTCTGCCAAAGCACCCATGATGGTGTTGTCATCTACTAATGCTGTAGACGCCAAAGAAGCATTGGGTGAGCTTATTCAGTGTCGAGTGAGGCACAGTTCACGATAAAAATGATTTTTGAGATTTATCCATATTATGAATTCGAGGGCTCTTCGTATATTTGGCGAGCGACCCGTCGCGCGATCGGTCTCGCGATCGGTCGCTCGCCAAATCGTGGACTATGGAAGCAGTCAGTCCCTTGACTTTCTCCATCGTTGTTCTCTCCACGTTTCGACGAGCTACATATCTGTTGGTCTTGGCAATGAAAATCGCCTTTATGGTGAAGAGCTTTTCTCTCGACGATACGCAGGTGGTCCTCAACGCATTTTCGGTCGTGTCCATCTGCCTATTTCTGTCAGAGAGACAGGTAGTCTTCGTACGGACAGGGCTTTGCTTCGAACTACCCTTTAGCGATTTTTCGGCGAGAGCTCGGCGTGAAACAAAGCTTGAAAAATGCATTCCATAAAATAGAGAATAGAGGAGAGATTCAAAAAATGCATGCAAGTAATAAAATTCACTAAAAAATATTCTCGCTCATTCCATGTTGCTATGCCATGGATACTGCACGCTGTGAAGCGATTTAGGAGGAAGATTACGAGGATGTTGTTTTAGTAACTGTAAATTCGAGCCGTAATGATACCTTGATGGAATTCGACTCCAAAACGGTTAGCGACGACCCTTCTGAAGTTAGCAATCATATTTCTCATCCTCCCGGATTCCTCTGCTGCCAATTGGCCACCGATGAAAAGGGAAGACTATGTGGGCCTGGGCGGAATCTGATCAGAATTCTTTCTAACAGTCCATGTTGCACATTACCATTCCACACAGTACATATATCATGAACGTAAGCTATCATCCGACATTTCAGCGAAATATTTGAAAATCCTTGGCGAAAAGGTGCTCTCTCGGCGAGATCAGCAAATCTCCCTTATCGTAGACGCCACGGTAAGAGTGAATCAGGATCAGAAAAGTCTTCAAAAAAGAATTGTTCTGTTGCAGTGCTTGGACTTCATCCTCGTTGAACAGACCGATAGGGACCAATTTCTCCGCTTGGCCCTCTGCTGCTCTGCTGTGATTTGTTGTCGATGCACACCATTTCAAAAGGTGAGCACATTTCAGGATAGTAAATGAAGTAGAAACGAGAAGCGAGTCGGGATTCAGGCGGCAGTTACTCGTCTTGTGAAGGCAAACGTCTGTGGAGCTGTGTTGGCAATAGGAGATGGCGCAAACGATGTGGCCATGCTACAGGTGGTCCCCTTGGGTCGACTTTGTGTGAAACTGATAGAGTAGTCCAACCATTGACAGTAGTTTTGCTAGCCGTTCCAGGAGGCAGATGTTGGTGTTGGAATATCTGGTCAAGAAGGCATGCAGGCAGCTCTGGCTTCTGATTATACCATCTCCCAGGTTCGCTATTCTCGGACTACGTTTCAGGGGACTGATAAAATCTACTTGCAGTTTTATCACCTTGATCGACTGCTGTTCGTACATGGTACTCTGTCGCTATTCCGTACATCGAAATGTATTCTCTTCTCCCTCTACAAAAATGTTCTCGAGACTTGTGTACTGGTAAATTTCTCACGCTCCGCCTCCGATGACTAGATACATTAAAGTTTGCTTACAGAGTTTTTATACTTATGTGAATGGGCACAGTGTTCAGACAATAGCTGATGAATGGACTGTGTTATTCTACAACATGTTCTTCACCAGGTACGTTCAGTTCGCCAATTCTGAATGATAGTGTTTGGAGTTCTGGGTATTATGTTTCCATAATCAATACCATTTACCTCTCCAATTCGACTCCCATTTGAGTGTGGATAAAGAAAAGGAGCAGAAGATGACCTCAACCTGAGCGAAAACCATTCGAGCTTACGTTTTCTCAATCAGCAGAGTTTTCTGGTTCCGGGTATTATTTTCCCATGATCAACACCATGGTTATCTCCCCAATCACACTCCTCTTTGAATGTGGATGAAGGAAAAGGACAGAAGACAACCTCAACCTGAGCGAGAACCATTCAAACTTACCTTTTCTTTATTGACAACCTATCAAAATGACAGTATCGGTTCACAACAGCATAGCTTGTGGTAAATATGGATGGATACAAATGTATTTTCAGCTTTCCTGCCCTAATTATGGGCATCTTCGACCGTCCAGCTCCGATCAGTAGTCTTATCAAGTATCCACAACTTTACTCGTACTACCAAAATTCTCTGAGCAACTGGGTAAGCTTAACCTGTGCTACGTGACCTGAATGATGTCACTATAAACACTACTGCAGAGACAATTTCGTTGGTGTTCATGCGCAGCTCTACAGGCTGTGGTAATTTTCCTTATAAATGTTTGGTGTTGGAATGCCGGTGGTGAGTCCCGATTCGAACCTCCAGTACATGGGCCGTAAGGTATGCTCTCCTGTTCGGGGCTGGGACGCCCCGATTCGGGTTTCTCTTTCTGCTCTCCCGAGAGCATACCTTACCGGGAAGAGGACCCTGCTCTGTTCGGTGGAGCATACCTTACGGCCCCATATCACCCTACATTGAAATCTCGCATAAGGCAATGTCTTGACCTGTAGGTCAGGGTCTCCTGAGGATTTTTAAGCGCTCATCTTCTGACTTACAGCCATTTTTGCCAGAACTAAGCAGCAAACTAGCGAATTATCACTAAAGACCTTCCTCTACGTTGCTGACATCGCTTCGATAGCAGTGAATTAGAGAGATTGCCAGGACAAGTTGCAGAAATGGTAAAACGTGCTGGAGGAAAATGTACTCGATCTAAACATGTAGAAAACCAAATTTTTGAGGCAGATCAGAGCGCAGACGCAATCGCAAAGTGCTATGAGGAGTCGATGAAAGAGACAAGGGTTTTCATATCCGGTAAGGGACTCAGCCGCTGACGATAGCGTAGACCAGGCTTTGAAATCTGCAATAAAAGTGGAACGCATGGAGTAGAGGGAGTCTACCATCGGTGCTCCAGAAAGCTCGAAGCAAAGATTCACGGAGCAATAGTGAGACCCACGATACTCCAAGGCAGCGAAAGCTTGCCAATTGGCAGGAGTCGACAAAGGCAACTTTATCCCATAGAAATAAGGGTTTTGAGGTTGGTCAAAAAAGAAGAAATTAGGACGGTGAGTAAAGTGTGTCCACCTAAAAATGAGAGAGCATCACCTCCTATAGTATGGGTTCATGCTGCGAAGAACACAGAATCATCCGATTGGGAAGCAACGAAGTTCAAATGGCAAAGGAAGCAAGCACGAGAACAACAAAGAATGATGGAGGGACGTGGTCAAGGGAGACCTATTCGAAGCCAAGTTAAGATGTCGTATAGCGCAGGAAATTGCGACAGTCAACAGCGAGCTCTGCGACTACGCAGGTTTACCGCCAAGTAGAAAAGAATAGTCAGAGTAAACTTTCTCAGCCTCAGTAGACGTGCTACAACATAATATTTCAAGAAAATGGCTATACTGCTCATGTTTATTCGCTAATTGTGAAGATATTAAGTTAATCAGAGCAATTTCTCGAAATTCCAACTCTATGATTTTTAACTGTTTTTTTTTCCATCACAGCTCCTCTGCATTTCGGATCTGGTGTGGACAGCTCACTGTGGGTGTTCGGCTGCTTCGTCTACTTCTCCCTTGTGCTCATCGTAAACCTCAAAGCACTTCTCGAAACGAACTCCATCACTTTGGTGAGCTTTCATCTTATTAAAAAGATCTGCAGTTCACCAGGTAACTGTAAAATGCAAAAAGAGTAAAGTGCTGCTTCTTGAGATGCGGATGCACCATTCTGACGCCCTTGATGGGGCTGTGATAGTGGCCACCACTGTTTTATGCCGTTTACACATAAGATTGGTCTGATGTACCTTACGTGAACGGATTGGAATTCCTTTGATGGCCAGTGTGGCAGCACCCAACGCACTCATACGTTCTGAGAGATTTTCGTCGTGCAACGCTTACAAAGCTTTTATTTCGACTGCCATCCACTTCTAACTTGCCCTCAATGACAACCGCAACAATTCCAGGTTTCACTTGCTATGGCGATCATTTCGATGTCTTTTTTGGTACTTTGGCTGCTTTTCAATACATTTTTCAATCACGTGAGTCAACAAAGTTCGCGTCTAAAGTGCCATAACAAAGATAACTTGACTTTCGTAGTTTAGTACGTTCCTCTCATTCCGCGAGCCCTTGGAGGAGTGTTGCTTGTGGTTCCGCCAATCGCTCTCGTTTTGGTCGTTTTGCTAGTTGCTATCGCAGCTCTTTTGCCCGATGTGGCCATAAAAGTGTAAGTATTGAAAGACCAATTTTCAGAAAAGGGTAATGATAAAGCATTAGATAATAGAACAAACTTTATTGTCGGGTGCCGAATACTTGGCCTGAAAGGAGAAGGTTCTATGTGTCTCGGGGGGCTTCCCTAGCTGTAGTTCCCTGTTTTTGAATGCGTGAATCTTAGTGGGACTTAAGACGGTCGAAAGATGTATTTTTAAAAGAATTGTTCAGAAGCGGTTATAGCTACTTCCTTCACAAACACATAGGTGGTGTGATACTTGAAATTCACTTTTTCGTGCGTACTACACTTCCTGGAGTTATAGTGAAAGCAGTTTTCTGGTGAGAGACAGGCCACGAAGTTGGGTTCTACCCGGGCTGGGTGAGGGTTTCTGGTCATTTTTATTTCACTGAATCTCGTAGACGTTTCCTGCTGATGTCTAGAACAAATCTATCACCTATCGATGACAATTCATTTCTTTCTGCTTGAGTAAGAACTCCCTTGTCTTTGCATGTAGTAGGAGCGCGTTCAGCATGTAATAGTTTAGCATCTTGCTCTTCGTACTGTTGCCGAATCCCGTACAATTGGGGGTTATTTCAGTATAGGCGTTTTTTCTCTGAGTAAACCACTTTTTGAAAGAAATAGTAGTAACCAACTTTCTTCTACTCCGTTAGCTACATTTCAGATTTCGTCGCGCTTTACGGGCGGACATGCAAGACGCAATGCTTTGGCATGAAGGTATTCGCGGTTCGCAATTCAACATACTTTACCAGCCGATTTTTAAAATGTGCGACATTGTCGGTTTGAAAACGTATGGTGAATTGGAAAGCAACAGATGTAAGTTCTGAAACGGGGCTCACTCTCTTGAAAAGAATTCATTTGTTTTTAGATGGTTTTGCTTTTGCTCAAGACGACGGCGTTGCAATCACGCAAATGGACCTTCTACAAGAACACTCAGCTGACTCGTTGTCTCTCCAAACACCTGGCATTCAAGAACCGAGCGAACCGGTAGAGGACTTATTTCCTTTCATCGCGCAAATGCATGGCTTACTCCTATATGTGTTCACAATGCCGATTCCAATTTAGAATGATTGTGTAAAAGAAAACGAACGATCTGTCGACGATAAGACTGTGGTAAGCTCATTGTCGGAGAAATCACCGAAGATGAAGGCTGAAGCTGTGGAACCGACGAAAAATCACAACTCATCATGAAATGGCCCTCTCGTTGCCTTTGATAGAGTCATTTATTGCGTTACATACTTATCCGAAAATTCATACGTTGGCTGGAAGAGAGCTTTATCGGGTTTTCATTGTTGGTGGATCCGAAAAATAAAAAATTTTAAATGATTTTTTTGTGCCCCTTGCTTGTTAGGAAATCAGACACTCCAGAATCTTCTATGTATGATTGGTTCGCATCAAACTTTTGCTTATTCCTCAAAAAGTTGCAGAAAACCGTAGAGTTGCGGGAAACATGAAGCAAATGTTTCTCAATATACTCTACTCACTGGCTTGAGAGTTTTGTGGGGCTTGGTAGATGAAACGCGAACACAAAAGCACGTCTGATGGCGTTTGATACTACTCACGGTTCTGGGATCGAGTCCCGGATCCATATCCACACTAGTCAACCGAACTTTGCATCCCTACGAGATTGACTATACGCTCCCAGGCTCGTCTGGGAAGACAAAATCACGGTTTTGTTCATCGTGACTTTTTGTAGAGGTCGAACACGCACTCAAGTACTATTGCGATTTTGAGTAAAAATCGAGAACGTGGCGCCCCTCAAAAGAGATTGATCGAATGCAAAAAGTTCTAGGACCTTCTACCTCCCCAAAAATAACAAGGATGTTATGAACGAAAGAAAGTCCCTAATCCGATCGTCTTAGGCACAGTAAGATACTGCCCTGCGAGAACTCTTATTGCTAGGCGAATTGCATTAACGTTTGTTCATTTGTCCCATTGTTCCATCCATTTTGTTCCTTTACTCGAAACCTCTTCACGGAAATGTCAATCAAGCGAATATCTCGTAAGAGACAGGCTTCATCATTCAAGTGATCATCAGTAGAGGATATTGAGGGAAATCTTCCTATTTTTTCAATGGAATTCTGTGGATTTCTGTAACTTTTCAGGGAACAACAAGAGGTTGATGCGGTAAGATCAAGTACTTTTCTCAAATGTTGAGAAACAATTTATGTCGTTATATGAGCAGTAACCGGATCTGTATAGGGCCCGAACCTTGGCGGCCTTTCATTAGTGCAGCGCAATTCTCTACAGCAGTTGACTTATGCAGAGGAGCGATGGATTGCATTGCGCAATAGACTCGTGGGGTCAAGGGGCCTCGAATGGCATTCATTTCTTCCGCAACGCTGACTCGCTAATCTACTATGTTCGAGAGCTCCTCTCAGAGTATCGCTACATCTGTGCAATGGATGAAGTGACAAGTTGTCTCGAAATACACAATTATAATCGATCAACAGGAATTAGTCATAACCATTGAGAAGAGTTTATAAAAATTGTTCGAATTCCTATGTGCAGGAGGTGAAGACTTGCTTTGAAAGGTTTTGTACTGAAGAAGACATCCGAAGTCATTCATCCGTGAAGACGTTGGAATGGAACCAGCTGCAACCGCCAGCGGCTGACATCACATGAACGGCTTCACGCCTTCAGCAATTAACACCAGTGAGAGTTGATTGACTTCGAGTCGGAGCAGGGCGATTTGCGCACGTAACTGCACGTTTTCGTTTTCCAGGACCTGAAAAATCATCTACAAGTTTGCATGTCCACAACAACAGTTGAAGCAAAGAAATTCGAGAGATCAGAGAATCTGATCTCTCGAATTTCTTTGCTTTAACTGTTGTTGTGAACAGTCAGCCATAGGTCCGTAGGCTGTACTCCGATACAAGTTCATGAAAATCGAAATTTTTTCGTTTAGTGGGATTTTTGCAGAAAGGGAACAGTTCCTAACAAACAGGCCCCATTGTTCCCGAGCTAAGGTTTCTACAAGAACTGCCCTTTTCCGGCAGTTCACAGAGGGGTCATATCTGCATGTGCTCCTTCTACTCCTCTCTCTCCGCTCCCAAAGTTTATGCCGATGTTATCTTTATGCGCTAACACGGCGCAGAACACCTCAGATATAAAGCAAACCCCAGACGTCCATCACTCGAAGGAAAATTCTAAAAATAAGCCCTTTTAGGTGAAATGGTTCAGTTCATTTTAATTTGTTACCCTTTAATTAGTGCCAAATTCCGGCACTACCACCCAGGCCAGCTAGGCGCTTTGTCCCTCCAACAGTGATTAAGTGCTACTGACTCGTAACGGACCCAAATCTCTGATTTGTTTTATCGGTTAGAAACCTTTTACTCTGATGAGTTGTTCCAAATCCAGACTTACAGGACATACGGCATAACAAAAAAGGCAAGAATTTTTATGGGAAGAAAGATAACTTGTGACCTAGGTACTACCTTATAAGGTTGGAATGCAATCAGACAAAGTTTCACATCTATGCACTAAAAATTTTTGCTCTGATTTTCTTAAGATGCTCTGGGGAAATTTGAATCCCATGGGACCCACATACTATATTTCTAGAATAGGATAGACAAATACCTCAACTTGGTGCCGGTTGGCGGCTTCTCTTTGCCTACGAACTTCTCGGGAACGTCGAGCAGAATCATTGTTCTTCCGCCGTCTTTCGAGATAATCAGCCTTAACAAAACCCATAAGACTCGAAACTAATACGATCTGATAAGCAGAAAAAATCAACAACAAGTCGCAAATAATCAGGAACTGAAGGCCTCATAGAAATAAAATTAAGAGTTTGGTGCTGAGAGGAACGGTCACCTTAGTTCACACCTGCCCACAGCCCCTGATAGTGACAACATAGTTAGTTCAAGTGAGATGAGGCGGTTTCCGAAAACGGCCTGATAGACCTTAGTGGAAAGGTAAAGAGGTAGAATCCCATTCGGGATTTACTCCACTCCTGTCGTCATTGCCACTATGTCCCCATCCAAGTGGGGCACATAGCTGTCGCCAAATGTTTCAAT